CAATAAATTATGGGCGCCAATAAATCGCCAGATTTGCGTCCAGCCTGCAACGACATCGCCTCCCAAGTCTCCGAGTTTGTCAATACGGCACCATGATATTTGCCTGTTGCTACCCCCTGGAACGAGTATAAAGAGAGATATGGTGTGTATGTGAGAAATCGCAAATGAAATATTCAAGGACCTGGTCGGTGAACATTTATTTAGGAATGTTCCGCACCCGCTGGGGAGGGTTTGATAGAAAACAAGCAACAATCAACAAAATGCCAGCAATAAAACTGTACAGCAACTAACAATGTTACAAGAACGACCAAAGGGGAGAGGTGTTGGGCTGGGGATCCACGAAAATTGCGAGCTTCCGACGCGACCGGCAATAAAAAGGTGCAAGGTTATTTAGCACAAGCAACACCCAAACAACAGGCAAGGACTCCGTGGCGCGTGTTCAACTGCAGCTGGACAAATGAAGGCAACACCAGGAATTGCACCAAAAGCAACAGCAGCAGCAGACCTACACTCTAAAAAACATATAGGACTAGGCTTTATGATATAAATTATTACTAAAAGTTGGTTTGTGCGTCATTTTCCACAGAATATATTGTGATTATAAATATATTTATATTGCGGACTAGAAATACTATACTTTATTTACCTTTGCACTTAACAAGGTTTCTTAAATAAATAATGTGATTTTTATGTGGAATATTATGTGGAATATAAAGAACAGTTGCATTTTCAGTTTAAATGATTTGTATCCTTCAATATTAGATTTCAAGGAACATTCTACTATAAATATTAAAGCAAGTGTAAAAGCTTGTTAATTAACATTATATCAGTATACAAAATCTCAAAATATTCCTAAAATCACAAACAGAAATAAAATAAAAGTTCGTATCAGACACAAAATATAATAACAAACAAACTATTGTATATATTTGCTTTCTAATTTTAAGAGAGGTTGCAATGATTTTTCCCAGTGCATCAGGAGCCGCCACACACAGCTGAAAACAACAGGAATAGGTGTAACAAGCAGCAGGAACATAAAATGTAAAAGCGAAAAAGTGTTGGTTGCCTGCTTTTTGTTCTTGATGCTGCTGATGCTGCTGTGGCAGTTGCCCCAATGCTGGCAATTAATATTATTGCATCCCGTCTAGGTGTGTGTCTGGGTGTAATGAAATTAAGCACAACAAGCGCCAGCAACGAAATTCTCAACAAAATGCCAAACCGTTGAAATTTGTAGGAAGGGAAAGCGATAGTGTTGGGCATTTTTAGGCTGGCTATCCAAGGAATTCCCTGCGAACAATGCAGATTCCGGGAGGCGGGATGCCACGCCCATGACCAGTTTCGATTTATTTCCCATCGAACCACAAATAACGTAAATTGGCATCATATTTTAAGCAAATTGCAGTCAAGATTTATGGTAATTGTGCGCCATCGCAGCAGCTACTCAGTTGCTCCTCGTTCTCTCCCTTTCTCGCAGCAATGGAAATCGAAAAACCGCACCGCCAACCGCCCACCGCCCACCACCCACTACCCCACCCACCAATGCAACCCAAAAGCGACCACAAACGACGAATCCTTTGCTGTTGTTGGTCTGCCAATGCTGTCGTTGCTATTCCTCCAAGTTGCCAGCGAAAACCAAATTTGCAATTTATTTTTCCAATTAACCTCGTGACTTTTATAAAGCGTGGCATAAATTCTCGCATAACAAGGCAGCACACCCAGTACATCCAAGGCCACCGGGTTTGGTTTACCTTGGGATAAAGATCTCTCGAAACCGAAATTCCTTGGAAACCGGCAATGGCCGCATTAGTGGCAGAAAGTTGCATTCATTTTGTTCAATTTTAGCCTTTAATGCGATTAAAAGTATTCAAAGGAAGCTGCTAAACAATCGTAGTTTCGTGGAAAAACCGAATCAATGGGGAAGGCTGGCAGATTTAATAAATTTAGGCATCTAAACAATGCAATGAAATCAAGGTAATATTATTTAAGCTTTACTTTAAACTTTAACTTTGGTTAAAATTTTCAAGAAATTGTAATTGTAATTGATTGTTATCACGCAATATTGTTATTCTAAGAGGGTGCTGTAAAAATGTAACATAATTTCTCACCTGAGCTCCAGTTAAGGTAGCCATATCGAGAATAATATCTGCCTTCAAATCCTTGTTGGCAAAGCAAACGCCATCGGCGAGCACCAAGCGGCCCTCGGCGTCCGTGTTGTTGATCTCCACTGTGCGGCCCGAGTAAAGGGTGTGAATGTCATCGGGACTGTAACAAAAAATACAAAATCTATTTAAATACAAGCTAACTAACTTTTAAAAATAAATATATACATATAAATGTATATAATATATACATATTTAAGTCTAAAAAACTTTATGATATGTCACAGAAACCTATTTGGTTGTGTTTTAAAGTTCTGTTCATGAAGCAACGATTTCTGTGAATAACTTAATAGATAAAAATTGTTTTCTAACACATTTAAAAATATATATATATATAAATATTCAGGCTTATCTGTTACTTTAACCCACCGTGTGGCATTCGGACCGACTGAATTCTCGGCCAAGCAGAAGACAGCATGCAGGTTGTCCTTGAATCCGCACTTGACCGCCGCGTAGAAGGCGCCTAGGATGGCGGCCGCTCCACCACAATCGCGCTTCATGCCCGGCATGCCGGTCTTGGCCTTGATGCTCAGGCCACCGGTGTCGTAGACGATGCCCTTGCCCACCAGGGCGATGGTCTCCTGGGCGCCTTTCGGCAGATGGGAGAGCACCACAAGGGCAGGTGGCACGGCCGCAGCCTTGCCCACGCCGTAAATACCGCCAAAGCCGCGCTGCTGCAGCTCCTCGCCACGGATTACTTGCGGCTGGAGGCACAGCTTCCTGCCCACCTCCTTCACGGCCTCAATGAAGTGGTCCACGTTCATCTCGTTGCAGGGCATGTCCACGATGCGAGCGGTCAGTCGGATGCCCCGGGCCGTCTCATTCAGGCACTTTATCTCGTCCGCCGTCAGAGGTTCGCTCCCCACGCCGCTATCTTTGCTGATCAGCAGAAACTCCACGTTCACCACGTTACGTGCATCCTTGTTTCCATCGCCATCATCTCCGCATCCGAACTCCGGCTTAACTGTGGCAGCTGCGTGTAGATTTCCCGTTTTGCGGGAATAGAGGGGAAAAGCCCGGACCACCGCACAGGCGCTGGCGAAGAGGTTCTCCCGCTCGCAGACGAGCACCACGCTCTCCTCGGCGACGTTCATCACATGGTTCTTCACCAGACGGGTGATGGCGTGGGCCCGGGAGGCAGTGTTATGGCGGGAGGCCTTCAACGGCAGGGCGGCCAGAGTGGCCGTGTCCAGGTAGAGGGACACCTTGTCCGTGGGCGCCGGATGCAGACAGGCCACGGCGTGCGAGAAGGTCTCCTCTCTGACACGTGGACTGAGCTTGCTCTCCAGGTGGCTGAACTTCAGCAGATTGAGATGGCGCAGCTGGCCGATGATCAACACCGGATGTGACTGCGGGTCGCTGCAGCTCAGCGTTTCGTTGAACTTCACGTCCGTGGCCATCTGGAAGAGAAGATGATTGGCGAATGAGTAAAGATTCGGATTGCGAGACCCGGGAATGCCAGCCCAATCCCAACGATAAGCCCCTGGTGGTATCTTATCGGTGCTAATCTCGCGTTTACCACTCCAAGTGCCCCACTTGCTTATCAGGCGACGGCTTTGCACCACAGGGGCCGTCAATTGATGCAGCCACCCGTAAATCACGAGAGCGCAAAGCGTCGAGATAAGAAGGGTGTTTGGGTTATGGGGGGGGGCGACTATAATAGTAAATGAAGGAGTAAGCTGGTGTGGACTAATAAGAGAAAAGATACATGATAGTCAAGTATAAAAAGATTGATTTAAAAAAAATTAATAATAATAATAATGTTTAATTTAATTAAATAATGTTTAATTTACCCCGTATGAGTATTTTACTAAGAAAATTAAATAAGTTAATGTGAGAAAAGGAACGGGAGGGCAAAAAAAAAAATAATTATCAAATTAGGTTTATAAATTTTTAAACTCTTTCGGCCTATAAAGTGTTTATAAAGCCTAATAATTTATGATAAAAAGTTATCGAATTAATAAAATGACATAAAAAGGCAAATAACATAATTATAAATATGAAAGTGCTAAATAATTTGGTTACAAATTTTTAAATGTTTAATTTTTTTCTTAGTTTTCGGCTTCAATGGTAGTTTATTACAAGGAATAGTTAAAAAAAACAGCATTCATTTTATGTTCTGGCGATGACAAGACAATAAAACTAAAAACTACTGTTAAAATGAATTTTCAATGGTTCTGCCAAGTAACTTTACGATGATTTATAAAGTTTAATGGCCTGTATAGCCAATATAAGTATAATTGAACCAACAAACCAATTTCGAATTTAAAATACCAGCGTGACCTTGAATTCGGCGCGACAAGAACAACAAGTGGGTCGTTGACCGATTCGCGGGGTTTCTAAAAAAAAAAGGGGGCGGTATCTTACCCATTCGTTGCAAATAAATTTTGGAACAACAAATCTGATATGTCTATATCTTACAGAAATATGCAAATTCTCCATTCTCTATTTTTAGACTCTTTGTTCGAGTTTTCTTCTTTCGCAAAATGTTTTTGCTCATTTTTCACCTGCTTGTTTGCTCACCTTTCCAAAACGACTGCTGCTGTAAGTGCGAGCGAGAAGGTTGCGTATTGCCTGGGCGCCGAACAGCAAACGCATTAATTTATTACTTTAGGAATTGCAAGTAATGTTGCAGAAAATTGGATGTTTTAGTGTTTTTGCATTGCCAATTTGACTTGCAGATTTTTTTGCTTGCCGGCTTCTAGAGATGTGTCTCAAGAGGCGATTGCCCGATGTCAACTATCGATATACCGAACAAAAACTAAATCTGGAGGTCTGGCAGCTCTTTCATTGCCTGGAAGTGTCATCTCTAGGCCAACGCGGACATCTCTAACTGGAAAGCAAAACAAACGCGTCTGGAAAGCCAAAAGGCGGTGAATTTTTAAAGAATTAAAGAAAAGGCAGCAAAATAAGTTAGCAAATGGCCATAACAATGAATGAGTCCTCTTACGAGAAGCGGCTAAAGGTCATTTTTGACAAACAGATTCGCTTGGAAGTTCGTGAGGCGAACGTAATCAAGAATATCTCCAAATTCAAGAGCAATTTGGGTGAGTTGCAGCACAAAGTGTTCCATGTCCCAGCTTCGATTTTAATTAGTGGCTTTTTATTGAACTATTTAGTGGATACCAAACAGGCAGTCGTTCGCCATCGTCGGGAAGTGGAAAAGTTTCAAAAAGATATACTGCAGCGCAGCGAGGAAATGGAAAAGCGATGTTCGTTCATGGAGGAATTGTCCCAGGAACTGGAGGCCACCAAACAAAGGAATTTGGTCATGAAGGAGCAGCTAAAAGAGCACAAAATGTTGGCCACACAGCGCAACAACAAACTCATGGAAAGGTCAGCAACTAGGAATTATGATCCCAAAGGATTCTTATATTCAATATAAGCTATTCTAGGATCATACTACAGAATTATTTACATTTGTGTAAAACAACTATATGTATAGTTCCCCGATGATCTTTAAACACATATGTACATATTTATTAACAATCCTAAAATGTAACTGAAAGGATTTATTGTGTCCAAAAACTTATTTTCAAAATTATTTTTCTTAAACTTTGTGGATCGGAACCAAAGCTATGTGATAGTATTATAAACTTTCATAAGTCATGACTTCGAAGTTCCTCTTTAATTTAAACTACTATTGAATTCACTTAAAAGTTATATATAATCGGGACTTATTAAACATAGTTTGCAGAATTATATTTAAAGTTTTTTGACTTAAAGTTATGTTATTAAGCTTAACTTAAATTAATTTAGTAATTGGTTTGAATAGATTCGTTTTGAATTCGTTTGAATACTTTTAAACATGAACCTTCGATAAATTTAACCCCTAAATTTTTAGGGGTTTGGAACAGTAACCGTCGTTTAGCATTCCGATTTTGAAAGTACTCATCGAAATTAGGTAAAACCCGTTTTCTCCTGTTTTGCTTGGGTTGATTGATTGTAAAAAAAGTTTAAACAAAATCGGAGAAACACAAACAATATTTATTATTTGTTGTTACCAAATGCTACATTTTGTGTATAATTTTTGTAGTTTACTGTTTTGAAAAAATACTTATACCTACTATACCGATTTAAATACATTATCCAAACGCGAGTTAAGCCAGAGGACGGCCAAAGGGAGTTTGACTAGCTTCAAAAAGTACTTTCAGAATCTGAAACCCAAATTGCAATTACAAGGTCAATGAAAGTATTAAGTTCAACTACCTATTTACACTCACGTACGAAGTGTCCCATATTAGCGTACACAAGAAATAATAAAAGCAATATATGCTTCTTTGTTTAAATATATAGCATCCACACGCTGAAGCAGACAACGGGGACCTACATAAATAACGATGCGTTGCCGGCACGTGTGAAAGGTGTCACTGCACTGCGAGCAGCCAGTGCGGACCACTTAATACCCTTTGATCTGGAGGCAGCCGATGTCGAAGGATTGTCTTCACTTTGTCAGCATCTTCAAAGCTTTAACATCGACGTTTCACAATGGCGACAGCTCGTCTCGTTGGCCACGGAAAAATCTACGGATTCGCGTGCACCAAACACTCCGCCCAAGGAGGCCACCAAGTTCAATCCCATAATTGAGATTGATCTCACCTCCCCGACGAGTTAGAATTGACTTCCGATTAGCAAACTAGTTTTGGCTGGAGAAGCCCCTCTGCCATAATAACACTTTAAATTGGCATTATGAATAGTTGGCGACAAAATAATAGCACAGTTAATTCTAATTGCCGTTTAAGCCTAAAAATTTAACCGATTTAAACAGTTATTTTTAGCGTGATAAATATAATTTGTAATTGTTTAATTGTCAGCCATAAATATATACCTACATTATCGATAAGATTAAAAAAAAGTTTATCTTCATTTTTTACAAAAACTTTTTAAATATACTGCTTAAGAATTATATAACATTATATAACAATCTGTACAATGAATACACATTCTGTCAAGTTGATTGATCGATTTTTAAATGCTTAAAGGAAATACTTGCAAAGCAAGATCTACGCTTTCAATTTAAATACACTTTTTTATGGGTACTTAAATTAATTTTATAAATAACTAAGTCCACATTATAAGCATCTCATTTTATATTTTTGCAGTACATTCAAGAAAACTTTTGGAAAAAGGTTTGATTTCGAATAATCTCCAATATTTTTTTTCTGGTTCAAAACAAAAGATTCCAAGCATAAAGGATGCTTACATACCTTATGGATAATGGATAAAACAACATGTGCTCTTAAGGGAGCGAAACTAAGATTGGACTTTTGTCTTGACGGCCGCTGTTAATCGAGAAATCAAAAAAGTCATAAGTGAGACAGAGTGCCACATTGACCGCGCAGCACCGGCTAACCGCTCTATCTATACACGCCGATCCATATAGATTGGCATTGTTTAATTGCTTTTGTCCGGCGAAAGTGTGAGTGACTTATCGTGGCTACATAAACGCAGCTGCACGGCAGCGACGGGTTCAGTCTATGGCCGGACTTTAAGATGATCACGGAAATTCTCCTGGCGATCTGCACCGCGGTGTTCCTTTGCCTTTCGTATCGGTATGCGGTGGCTAGACCCTGTGGCTTCCCTCCCGGTTCGTGTTGGCTACCATCGTGGCAGGAGTCCAGGCGCTAATCGGATTATTCGCAGGTCCTCCGAGGATTCCGTTGTTCGGCAGCTACCTCTTCATGCTGATGATTAACTTTAAGTACCTGCACAAGGCTGCTTTGACCCTCAGTCGGTGGTACAAGTCGGACATAATCGGACTCTATATGGGTCCCTTTCCGGTGGCCGTCGTCCACAATGCAGAAGGAGTGCGCGAGATCCTCAACAACAAGGTCTTCGATGGACGCCCTCAAATATTCGTAGGCGCTATGCGCGACTCCGGCCCAGAAGTCCGAGGTGAGTTCGAAATGTGTCCGAGTGATCGATCTTTCTGCCCCTGATAGCGTCCACTTAAAATGGCGTTGTTGACAAAATTGGGGTCAATCGTGAATTAATTGTCGCGTCGAGGGAACAAAACACTCTTATCGCCTAAAACCTATTTATACTGGGCACACTTCACTTAAAGAAAGTGTAATTAAACCATAGGTAGAGGTTGAACAAAGTGCTAGAAAATTTTAAGTGCAAAATTGTTCATCCAAAAATTTGTAAATCATGTGATTATCACATTCTCATAGATTAATTTATAAATTCATTCAATGTAAGCTTTGCGATTTTTTTGTAGAAATCGGATAAATTACAAAACGAGAATGCAATTCATTTAACATAAAGTACAATTATTTTGATTAAAAATTATCACAAAAGATCTAATGTAAATTTCTTCAAAAATTTTTAGAAAATCATAAAGAGTATAATTTAGTTCTCTTAAAATCTAAAAATGTATTTAGTTCTAAAAGTTCATATTGATATTTTCATATATCATACTTGTAAATTTTAACGTTTTCGAATATAATTATGCTTTTGAACTCTTCAAACTTTTAAGGAACTTTTTTTGTTGAGGTGTATGTCATAAGTCCTAATCAACGTATCGCGATTAAAAACCAGTAGTTAAGTGTTACGGATGCCACCTTGACTGATAAGTGCAATGGGCGTTGATGGTCAATATGGCTGAGTGAATTTCCTTGCTTCGCTACCCCTCTCTGCAGGCATCTTCTTTCAGGATGGACCCTTGTGGAAGGAGCAGCGCCGCTTCATCCTGCGTTATCTGCGCGACTTTGGCTTCGGTCGGCGATTCGACCAGCTGGAGCTGGTCATCCAGGAGCAGTTGACGGACATGCTCGACCTGATCCGCAACGGGCCAAAGTATCCGCATGAGCACGAAATGGTGAAGCCAGAGGGGTACCGCGTGCTCCTGCCGCTGCTCTTCAATCCCTTCTCGGTCAACTGCCACTTCCACATCGTCTACAACGAGTGCCAGAGTCGCGAGGAGATGGGCAGATTGGTGAGGCTCTGCCAGATGGGCATGCAGTTCCAGCGGAATGCGGACGACTACGGAAGGATGCTGAGCATCATGCCCTGGATCCGGCACTTTTGGCCCGACTGGAGTGGCTACAACAAGCTCAACGAAGCGAATCTGTTTGTGCACAAGTTCTTCGCCGAATTTGTGGATCGGCATTTGAATTGCTACGAGGAGGGTGTGGAGCGCAACTTCATGGACGTCTACATAGCGGAAATGCGCCGATCTCCGGGCTACGGATTCAACCGGGATCAGTTCATCATGGGTCTGGTTGACTTCTCCTTTCCCGCCTTCACGGCCATCGGCGTGCAGTTGTCGCTGCTCGTCCAGTATCTCATGTTGTACCCGGATGTGCTGCAAAGGATACAGAGCGAAATCGACGAGGTTGTCGGATGCGGCAGACTGCCCACTCTGGAGGACCGCAAGAGCATGCCCTTCACGGAGGCCACTGTTCGCGAGGGCTTACGCATCGAGACTCTGGTTCCCTCGGATGTGCCGCACAAGGCGCTGGCTGACACCGAGTTGCTGGGCTACAAGATACCAAAGGTGAGCTCAAAATGCTTTCCTTTTCTTGGGCTTTTTGATACAATTTTTACAGCATATTTTGAAAGTTTTTGGTCAAATATTAAATTAAGAAAATAGTTACGCATGATTCTCTTGTAGTGTAAAATATTCCCCATTGAAATCATAGCCTAAGAACTATTTTTGTATTATTAGTTGCCTGATAACATAGTGGGTCAATATAATTATTTTATTCAAAATTATTAAACTTTTTATTATAATATATGCTTTTAAGCAACATAAAATTTTACTTTTTGCTTAATATTTCTTATTTCTTCCTTAGATTTTGAATAGACTAAACATGTGGGATTCTAATTTCTCGAGTTTTGGACGTTATTGATAACTATTTAATATCTTTTCTTAGGACACCATTGTGGTGCCCAGCCTGTATGCCTTCCACTCGGACAGTCGTGTCTGGGAGGATCCGGAGCAGTTCCGGCCGGAGAGGTTCCTCAACGACGAGGGCAAACTCAGCCTAAAGCTGGATGTCTCGCTTCCCTTCGGAGCGGGAAAAAGGCTCTGCGCCGGCGAGACCTTCGCCCGCAACATGCTCTTCCTGATGACGGCGACCATGTGCCAACACTTCGACTTCGTCCTGGCCCCGAATGATCGGTTGCCCGATCTATCCCAGAACCTCAATGGTTTGATAATCTCGCCGCCCGATTTCTGGGTGCAACTGCAGGACCGGCACTAAACACCAGTATAGCATAAAATTCTTTGATATTTTAGACTTAATGAATTCTTATTTTAAGACGTCTTCAACTAAAGGCCTATTATTAATAAAAAATTCGTCATTCCTAATGTATAACAAAAATGTGTTTATGCGCAAATCTAAAAATATATATCAAGTATAAATATATTTTTTAGTTCTAAACTTTTTTTATGTAATTCTTAACAAAGAAACGGTTGATAGGAATTACAAATTTGTATGAAAGAAACCTAGGAGGATGCTGCCAAAATAACTAGATTTTTAAAATCACTTATAAAGGTACCTATAAGTATGCAATAACAATATGCAATATATATTAGTTGGAAGGGACGACAATACTGTTTCTCGTTCGGCACTTTTAGAAATTATTTCAAAACAATAGCAATTTCTGTAGCCATTCCAATTGATTCCCCTTAAAAAACAGGTAATGCAAATATCTGAACTGTTTTAAAATCAACATATAATTCCATCTTTCAGCACATGTTTGTATACACGCGGTAGGCTTATTATTCGCTATCGGTATCAGAAATAATGTAATCTTGTATGGGCGAAATCACAGGCGGTGTGAGTGCAACCAAGTTGTCTTCCCCATTCTCCTCCGAGTGATCTGTCTCGGGATCATGATCGGAATAGCGGTCCATGCCCAATTCGGCATATAATTCCCGATCGTAGTCAGAATCGGAGCTAGCTCCGGCATTGGAAATGCCCAGCGAGCTGGTCGATGAAAAGCACAAGGAAATCAGCGAAGCCACAGAGGATTGGCGATCGAGGTCCGGGGACTGAGTGCCCTCGGATTCAGAATCCGGCCTGTAGCCATCCTCTTCCTCGTCGTCATCCAGTTGTTGTACGGACGAAGATTCTGAAGTGTCCACCTGGGGATTGGACTCCATCGGAGCGGCGCGGCTCTCCTTGCGCATCTCCACCACCTCGCTGAGGATCTGGTGCTGCTTGTCCGCTATGGTGGTCACCAGTTGCTCGAGATTCTTGATCGTGGCCTCGTACTCAATCAGCTTCAGTTTAAGCTGCGAGTTCTCGGCACGACAGCTGTCCAACTCCAAGGAGGCGCACATGGCGATTTTGGTGTCGTCCGACTCGGCGGATTTGGTGCTAAGTACGAACCATAGCGTTACACAGAGAAATACGACTTTTGCCTTTCTAAATCTAATCAGACTGACTAGATATTGTTTAGCCAACGACTTTTAGATTTTATCAATTTGTTTAGCAAAGATTTGCTCAGAGAAAGTTTGATCTATGCCCATTTTTATTTTTTTTTAACACTGAGCCAAAACAAGCAAATACTATTAAAAAAGAATATGCATTAATAAGCTTCGAAAAAGACTTTTTGCTAAAAAACATTTAAGCTGAAAGGATTTAATTAAATTCGATAGGAAAAATATTAAAAGCTTTGAGTGCTTTGAAAATTACTTCAAATTTGGAAGTTATTGAAAATATTTAACACATATAAACTTTAGGAAATTTTATCTGAAGACAAGTGAAATCAGATATATTAAAATTTAAATATGGCTGACGAAAGCCGTGGATATATATTGTATATACGAAAACTTACATGTTTATGGCTTGGGAGTCCTTACTATGGACCGGGCAAATGTGGGACATTTTGAGACTTGAAATTTACTGGCAACTCAATTCAGCAATTGTCTCTCGACAAAATCGACTTGACCTATTTGTAGTACCTTGAAATTTCCCCCGAAACCTTTTGACACTGTTTTCCTGATGTCTTCGATCTGAGTGCAAACGAATAATGAGACCTATGGAACACATAAGTCTCTTTAACTAAATTTCTTAGATGACTAGATTGATACTGAAAATTCCTTAAGAATTTACAAGTTTAGCTAACCATTACTCAGTGTTTTTTCTTGACTGCGTCAATATGCACAATTTTGCCTGGCACATTAAAGCGATGTACCATAGATAACCCATTTAAAACAACAATGTAAATAAGGGTGAAGTAATCAATCGTGCCTATGAAATAGTAAACAATAATCTCTAAAATTACTTTTGGCAATCTTCAAAGCTACGCTGATAAGACAGCCAAGGCAGTGAAGCAAAGTAACGACTGCAAGACACCCTAGGTGCAAAAATTTAGGAAAAGTACCTATCAATATCGACAACTTTGCAATTGCGAAGATTCAGAAACAGCATGTTAATAGCGAAAAGAAGTTTGTGTGATTAATATTCAAATAAATTTTAAGATTTTAAAAATATGATTTTCACAGCAAGCTGAAGTGTGTATACCTTTGCTGGCATTACCACAGCTGTAATATATTTAGAGTATTTGCATACGCTTGCATAGCGTATTTTTGCAGTCAAAAACTTCCTTAATATAAATTAATACAAATATAAATATATAAATATAAATATTTATATAAATATATAAACCTTGCGATTTGACTTCTGGGCATTCAAAATAATGAAAATAAAAATTAATGGTGGTACTTACAGCATTAGTTGCTTTTAAATTGCAAAATTTCTTTAAGCGTTGGGGCCGGCACGGTCTTGGGCACGGTCTTCGGTACGGAATTGGGCACGGTCGTGGGCACGGTCTTGGGCACGTGGGCTTAGGTTTTCCCGGATTGCGTCTATGACGGCGATTGGAACATTTATGCTTCTTGCTGCGATTCTCTATCTGTGGGTTTAGGTTTTCCATTAGTTTTCCATTGGGAATGCGCACAAATTACAGAAGTTCTCAAATCAACTTTTAATTATTTCTACTCCAAACACACCTTTGTTCGATAGTCCCGCTTTTCCATCGAGCTTAAGTCATTCCAATTCCGCGCAGCCTGACGCAGTGCCTCCTCCTTGGGAATGTCCGGACATTGGTGCTGATTTTCAATTAAATAGCTTAAAAATGCGTTCACATAGGGCTTCATATTAGTTTCAATTATTTCACTCAAATTTTAATTTTCACTTTAAATTTTTTTTATTTTAGCTGAATTTGAATGAATTTTCTAAAAATTATCGTTCAAAGAAATTGTGATGATTGTACAAAAGGTTCCTGTTGTAAAATCGTATTTTCAGGTTCTTCGACGGGAAAGAGAAAATTAAAAGGTTTTCTGCAAATTTACAATAAATAACTAAATTATTGTTTTATATATTTTTTGTAAGCCAAGCGAAACCTTTGATTGAAACAATAAAACAAGTCGGGTTTCTGGATTTGATACAACTCTTCGTTGGCCTTAGTTTATTATGATGTATATTACAACTGGGTTAAAAACTGTTTGCTTAGCCTATCAACAAGCAGGTTAACTTCAAACTTAAAGAGAATTTGTTATTATTGTTAGTCGTATTAGATAAGCGAGAGTCCCTTTCAGAACTCTTCTACAAATATTGCTTCGACTCCTAAATATCAGCTTACGGACTATTTGATTTATATTCACGTTGCACATGGAAATGGATCCATGCCACTAACTTGGCTAATACTGGCCACTCCAGTCCAGTTGGCCGCCGATCCCCATTATCCCCCGGGGATCTTTACCCGTCGTCCCAGCTGCTCCTCCTCCAAATGCTCGCACTTCCTCACAAAGCAAAAGGGTTAAGTTTGCCTTTAGTAGTAGGCCTGCTTTATGGCAGCACTGGTGATCAGGAAAGCGGAGCCAATCAGCATGAATGTGATGATTTTGAGAGCACTGGGCCTACCGGAAGAATCTGTGGATAGAGGGAAATTAAAAACATGCGAGTTAGTTTTACATAAAATACAATTTAGACTTGCAAAAACCAAGAAGAAATTCTGATATTTAAAAAAAAAGGTTTTTTAACGACGAAATTATTTTTTTCTCAGATTTTACAATAATGCAAATTATCATTACGTATACTTAATTTTAAAATAACTATATAAGTTATTGATTTAACTAACTTTAATACTTTTACTGAAGAAAGAAGAAAAAATAAATTATTAAAAAGGGTACCAAATTTGAAATTTCGAAATTGATTTTCAAATTTCCCAATATTTAAATTATTTGTTTACTGTAACTCTATATATTTTTTTTAAGGTTTTACATACTTTTCTTGTTGGGCATCACACGAATGCACTGCTTCTGCTCGGAATTCGCCTGGTAGTCGAATTTGCACTGGCAGACTGAGTTGCGACACTCCACGTTCTCGGGATCCTTTTCTATATAGCACTCGGTGGCCTTTGTGCAAGATTCTCCCAGTTCTGTGAGACCAGTTGATGTTACATTCGGAAGGCATAAAGAAATCAAAGGTATTAGTTACCTCGCTTCGTTTCGCAGACACCATTCTTCTCGTGCTGCTGGTCGGTGCAGCCACACTTTCCCTCCGAATTGCATTTGGCCAAGAGTGGCTTACACTGCTCGTCCTCGACACACTCGTCCTCCAGCTCCTCAGCTGAAATGGGTTCAAATAAATAAAATAAAGAAACATTTGTCAATTTACCTTTACAATTTAAAGAAAAACTAAAAAAATTGGTCCAAATAACAAAACTGTTTTAAAATTCTTTAAACGAATGAGTCAAATTGTTTGATTTCCATTTAATTGATGAAAAAACTTTCATTGCTTTTTAATAAGTACATTTGTGTACGAATTTTGGGTTTAGCAAGCGAATTCATATATATTTTAATAGAATTGAGTTCATAATGTTGAATTTTGAAATTTAAATTTAATTCCCGAATTTTGCTTTGTACGCACCTTCCTTGAGGCACTGATCCTTGAAATGCACATATCCCTTGCGGCACTGACAGGTGCGCGTCTGATCCTCGTCGTCCTTCTCCTGGCAGCTGGTGTTGTCAGCAATGCAGTCGTCCTCTAACGAGCAGTCGGCACCGATTCCCCGCAGGCAGGTTTCGTCCTTCTCGAAATAGTGATCCGCGCAAACGCAGAGGCGATTGGAGCAGACGGAGTGATCCACTGGGCAGGCATCATTGGACTCGCACTCGGCCCCCAGACCCTGTTTGTACTCGCAGAGCTGCTTGACGGCATCGTACAGGGCGTACTCCTCGCAGGTGCACCGCCTCGGGATCTCCGGATGGCAAAAGGAGGCTCCGAACGGACTGCATTGGCTGTTCGAGGTGCAGGACAAGTGGAATTGGATGGCTGTTTTTGGAGGAAAGTAAGATCCGGTTAACGTGGATGCAAAGGACA